ATGGCCGGCTCTCCCCGCCGGGCCGCCGGGCCGCCGCCACAACCCACCTGGGAAGATCCCCGCGAGCCCAAGCGAAGGCGCCTCGACCATCACGAGCCGACCACGACCACCACCTCCACCACGACGACCAGCAGCGAACGGGTCAGGCCCAGCATGGCTCGACTGCCGTCGGTGCCGCTGCTCTTGTCCTCGCTCGCCGACGCGGCCGCAGTCATCTCCTCGTCCGCCTCGAGTTCACCGTCGCTCAGTCCTCCCATGGCGGTCTCCTCCTCCTCCCCTGCTGCGACGCATTGGCCATGGTCTGCCGCCTCCTCGCCGTTCGTTTCTTCCGCTTCTGCTTCGCCGTTCTACGCCATGTCGTCATTGTCGTCGCTGCCGATGATGGCGTTTCCAACGTGGGCCACCTACGGCTCGGGCGGGGCCTGCCCGGCCTGGCCTCCCTCCACCTGCTCCCGCCGCCGCCGTCCACCACCGCGCACCGCGCACCCACACCACCACCACCTCCACGACAACTACAACTACAGCGACCCAAGTAAACAGATCACAAAACGACCGTTGTTGCGTTGTTGTTGCTTCTGAAGATGACGATGATGATGTCGATGATGTCGATGATGAGGTTCTACTCGAGGAAGTTGGTGGGCAGGTCGTATTTGAGGCCGGCAGCGGAGGCGGCCGCGGGCATGTAGGGAGTCTCGGCAGCGGCGGGGGCGGGGGCGGCCTCGGCCGGGCGTTCCCGGCGCATGCCGGAGGGCAGGGAGAGGTTGAGCTTGGCGGGCACGCCCCAGCTCGAGAAGCCCGACGACGACGCGACGCCCTCCGACTCCTTGGCCTTGGCCTGCGCCGCCTCCTCCTCCACATCGATGAACGTGTCCGTGGCATCGTCGTCCTCTGGTGAAATAAATTGTTAATGAAATAAATAAATATATTTAATGAAATAAATAAATAAATATTATCAAGAATATTATGTTCTTATTTCAAGTAAACAATAATTAGAAGAAAAAAAAGAGAGTTGAATACCGATGGAGGTGCCCTCGGTACTCTTGGCGCGGGGCTGCACGCCGGAGGCCTGGGCCGCCCGGAAGCCTCGCCACATGAGGAACAGCACCCACGAAGAGGCTGGTGGCACTCTGTTAGTCGTGCATGTCGTATGTGCCGTGTGTGTGTGTTTTTGTCGTGTGTGGTTGTGTGTGTGTGTCGTGTGTTGTGTGTGTGTGTGTGTTGTGTGTGTGTGATGTCTGTCAAACGGTACCCAGTCCGAGGAGAACCCAGACCAGCAGGGAGATCACGTTGAGCACGCCAGTGCCCATCTCTCCAGCTTCCCAGGCGTGGACCAGCAACACAAGACCACTGCGTCATTGATAGATGGGGGGGGGCAAAGGTCAGCGGGAAGCCGGTTTCGGTGAACGGAAGACGGGTCAGAAGAAGAAGAAAA